TGTGTGAGTAGGGAGGTGATGTGAGTGTGCATTCATGCATGTGTGTGAGTGTGTGTGTGTGTGTGAGAGAGAGAGAGAGAGAGAGAGAGAGAGAGAGAGAGCGAGCGCGCGCGCACCTGGTGTGTATGTGAGAGTGAATGTGTGTGAGTATGGGGGTATGTGAGCGTGTGTGTGTGTGTGTGTGTGTGTGTGTGTGTGTGTGTGTGTGTGTATGAGTACCTGGTGTATGTGTGAATGGGGTCTGTGTGAGCATGCATGCGTGCATGTGTGTGAGTGTGTGTGTGTCCTTTGTTAGCTTATTTCAGCATCCAGGTCTTCTGTGGGTCAGTTTCTACTGGTTGTTTTTTCTGCTTTTGACTGTGTGTCCCATTATCCTCCTGCTTCACATGTTTCAGAAGTTACTGTGCCTTGCTATACATTGCATGCTAGCACAGCTAAAAATAATACAAAGGAATCTTTTTTTTTTTTTCCCAGAAGGTTAAAGAGCACCTATATCTTGAAGGTAGGATTGGGTCACTGACTCATGCATGCTCACACAGACCCCATTCACACATACACCAGGTACTCATACACACACACACACACACACACACACACACACACACACATGCTCACATACCCCCATACTCACACACATTCACTCTCACATACACACCAGGTGCGCGCTCTCTCTCTCTCTCTCTCCAGCAGGCCTTTGGAATCTAAGCATAGAAAGTAGACTGGGGATGGAGAGATGGCTCAGTGGTTAAGAGCACTGGCTGTTCTTCCAGAGGACCTGGGTTCAATTCTCAGCACCCACATGGCAGCTCACAACTGTCTGTAACTCTAGTTCCAGGGGATCCAACATGCTCACACAGACAGACACACAGGCAAAATACCAATGCACGTTTTTTTTTTTTGTTTGTTTGTTTTGTTTTTGTTTTTTTAAAGTAGGCTGATGATTCAGGGAATGAAAAGAAGGGTGAGGACATCAACCACCCCAAAGGTCTCAGACGACATCAAGTTCTTCTTTTCAGTTCTGGTATTTTCCGCGGTCTTACCTTTGGCTTCACTGATTCTTTGATGTGTCTAGGTTATTGTTACTCATTTAATGATTTTTTTTTGAGATATGGGTTTTTTTTTTCATTTTTAGAAATTCCGTGTATTTAACCACAAAATCTTTCAGAGGGCGTCCTCAACAGATATCCTTGTGGGAGTTCTAAAGGGAGCCAGGGGAGGAAAGTTAGGTCACCCTGCTAAGAATGGGGAGTTAGTGTTTAATGGGTACAGGATGGAGATGGGCGGTAGTGATGGTCACACAGCACTGTGAGCACACTTGGTGTTGTACACTGAACTGTGTGCTTTGAAATACATCCTGTGAACCGCGGACCTGCTGCTCTCAAAGTCAAACAAGCTGAAGTTGGCAGAGGCTGTGAAAAAGGAGCCTTCATGTGCTGGGTATGGTGGCAGAAGCCTGTAATCCCAGTGTTCGGGACTGAGGCAGGAGAAGAGATGTGAGCTTGAGGTCAGCCTGTGCCTCAGATAATTTTTCATCATCATCATCATCTCCATCTTTTCCTTTTCCCTCTCCCCCTCCTCCCTTCCTCCCTTTCCTTATTTCTTTTTCCTTAGCCATGTGCTTACATTGAGCTATATTATTCTCAGCGCTTAGCTTTTGGAGACAGCTTCTTATTATGAACTCTATGTAGCCCAGGCTACCCAGGAAAATGTGACCCATTATTGAAGGCAGAAAAGCAAGAGCTCTTGCTTCCCGGGTGCTGGGACCGCATCTCAACCCTGCCTGGTGCCCACATCATCCTCTCATGTACTGGCCTTAATCCTGCTCCCCTCTTTCCTCTCTCCTTGGAGGAGATAAGATGGCAAATGTTACACCTTTAATTCGTCACTTTTGATTCCCTGCAGGACTGACAGGAAACCTGTATTGATCAGTCTTGTGCCAGTTACAGGGTAGCCCAAGCGTTTTTCAGGCTGCAAAGCAACCTCTTGGCTTTAGTGGTCCAAGCCTGAGAGACAGTGGAAAGGAAAACTTTCTAACCTCTGTACAGGAAGTAAATACACATTTGGAGTTGTTTGTGATTTGGGAACGCTACAGAAAAAGTGGTTTCCTCACTCCAGTGGAAACAAAAAAACAAAACAAAAGCAAAAACAAAAAACTGAACGGCCCTCCTGTAAAAGGTTTTACGGTGGTTAATCTTAGTTGTGAACTATTGGTGGAAGTCTTAAGGCTCCACGTAGTTAAAGGGAGGTTTCTTTTGTGGAGTAACTTACAAGTGAAGGGCCGGGTTACAGGGTCCCGGAGAGGTGAAGTGCAGTCCAGTGGTGTTCTCTGGAGAACGCTGCTCGGTCTACCTCCAGCGTCCAGGATCCAGGAACCAAGAGAGCTGGCCCATCCAGATCTCGGGTCTTCAGGGCTCCTCTCTTGGCCCCACCTCGTAGGCATGGCAGTTACTAGAAGCCTCAATGGGGGTTAGTACTTCCAGGTCAAAGCTGGAACAGCTACCCACTACAGTCAACTTGAGAGAATCTAGAATCATTTGAGAGAGGAACATCTGTTAACATCTGAAGGGGGGTTATCTTGACTAGGTTAATTGAGGAGAGAAGACTCCCCATTGTGGGCAGCACTGATTCCTGGGCTGGAATTGTATTTAAAAAGAGAAAAATGAAGCCCTAAGCGATAGCTCAGTGGTTAAGCGCATGGGCTGCTCTTCCAGTTGGGTTCCCAGCACCCACATGGCTGTTGCAGTTCTGGAGGATTTGACTGACTTCCTCTTGTACCCTCTGTGGGTAATGTGTGTGTGTGTGTGTGTGTGTGTGTGTGTGTGTGTGTGTGTGTGTGTGTGCACATATATATGGTGCACAAACATAGATGTAGACAAAGCACCCACATACATTAAATTAAAAAATCTCAAAAAAAAAAAAAATGTAAGGGGTGGGGAGAGAATATGAGCCAGGCACAATCATCACTGTCTGTTTGGATGCAATGTGATGGGCTCCCCTGAGCTGGTCCCACGACCTCCGAATCATGACAGCCATATCCTGGAACCGTGAGCCTGGCTCCCTTAAGTTCCTTTTGTGAGCGTGTTCTATCGCAGCACCAGGAAAAAAATCAGACAGATGCCATTTAGCTGCCTGTGGCTTTGCCTGTTGAGTGACCTGGAGCAGCGGCAGGGTTGGAAGTGGGAGGGGGCCAGTGTTGTGCCCAGGTCACAAGACCCCTAAGCAAGACCACCACAGAGCCAATATCCGATGCAAGCACACAGAGGTTTTTAATAACAGAACAAGCAAGCTTGGTCTGCCATCCACCATCCGACACAGCGGGTGGAGGAGAACGGCCCCGAGCACTCACTTGAAGGTTTAAGGAAAGGTTTATATGCAGCTTGGGATTGGACAAGGGGGTTAGGGGTGAGACAGTTCTTTGAAGTTACTGGATGAACTATAAGCATGAGGTTACTGATGGCTAACAGGATTCAGGGTATCTACAGAGACATAAATTTTTTACTTCCTATGTCCTGCTTTTGTTGAACCCAGGATATATACATTCAGATGTATTGTTCCAGTCCTACTCTCCTCTGAGGTCAACTTCTAGTCAGTTGAGTCCATTACTCCCCATATCTTGTTTTGCCAAGTCCAGGACACATAGGTTTATTATCCCAGCCTTATAAGTTCAATTTTTGGTCACTTCTAAAACTGCTGGTCAGCAAATACCTTTGGAGGAGGGGAGGGGGAAGCATCTCTCAAGACGGCTACTGATTTTTCCCTTTCACCCAGGAGATGAGAAAGTAGAGAAGACAGATAGGAAAGCTGGGGTCACGAGGTCTTGCACAGGCTACATCTTATGTCAAGCAAGCTTCTTAAGGAGTACAACTGTTTCCAAGGGCGAAACCGGAACAGAGTCAGCAGAAACTGTCATACAGTGGGACAAAGACGAACAATGTTGCACAAAGGAAACAGGATATCGCAGGAGCATTGCAGACAGAGCACATAGTGGCCTTGGGACCGATAACTCGAGTCTTTTCATGGGAAAAAGCCAAGTTCCCAGGAACTGAAACCT